AATTTTTCGAAAAATACCTTTGGTATTCCGAGTACTTACCAGGTCTAAGATTACAATACTTTTCTTCATTGGCAACCTACTTTAAAACGTGATTAAAATTATTTATGTAAGCGAGAAATTCAAGAAAATCGTACGGGTTGTGGCGGTGGGGGAAGCAGAGAGCGCGGCCGCTTCGACCTGCTCGAAATTGAATCGACGTGTTCAAAACCGCGTTGCGTTTAAAAATTTTTAATATCTCACCTTCTAGAGATCCATTTTTGATGATTTTGATAAATACTCCAAAAAAATTCCCTAAAAAGTATTGTTTTTTAACCCCATTTTTACGATATTTTCGATTTTTACCATATTAATCATGATTCATTCGATTTGTAACTAGTCACATTTTGTAAAGGATTTAATTACAAATATTATTTTCCTCTTCCATTTTCGCCTAAAATCAACTTGAAAAAATACATAATTAAATAGGGAGCAAATATAACATCTCTAATTTTTTTAACATATTGTGCTGCCAAAAGTTAAGCGCATGTTTTTTTTATGCGCATAGAAAAAATTTAATTTCTAGCGATATTTGAAAGTCAAATAGCCAAAAATCTCCGTGGATATACGATTCACCCAAATATGGCTTTTTGAAACAGATACTGTCTGGACCAAGGACATTTAAATAAAGGGGACTATCCATGTCACAGTCTATCTCATATGTTGGGTGAAGCTAGACAAGGGGAAAGCAGAGGGCTTTATTTTCATCCAACTGGTCAAAATAAAATATTTTATAGTCCCAAGTCAATATATTTCAACAGCTACTCAGTATTTTTATAATAAATATATATAATATTTTTATAACTTCTTGGAATCCCAATAACTGTAACTATTTCTTTCTTGTTGCACCATCCCCAAGCATCCTAAAAACGTTCACATTACACTTTTAGAATACTGAGGCAAATTTTCAGTGAGACATAAAAATATATTCCCAAAGGAGAACATCAAATGGTTGAATGAATGCAACTTTCAGTTGATTGCATCTTCGATATTTTTATGTATAAGTGAACCACCACCATATTTTTGCTGTTGTATTTATTCAGTTTTTATGCTCGTGCATTTAGTAAAATTGTAAATATATTTTTGAAAAGGTTTTTGTCGTAGAGGAAAATGAAAATGATGAATGATTAAAATTTGTAATGTTGGGTATAAGGGATAACATTGAAATACCTATAAATATATTAAATATAAATTATGTCTGTAACTTATTTGTGGTGCAGCATTTTCCTTTGATTTTAATGGCCAAACGTGGTTCATATTATTGTTTTCTTACTATTTCAGCAAAAATTTTAAAAAATACCAAGTCAGTTATAAAATTTTACCGTTATTCAAATAAAAGTTACCCACACGCACGACAATGGCCACAGTTGCAGATACATTCCAAAGTCGCCTTCAAGCACGCTTACCTGTGGAAGGATAGCTGATGTGGATGTTTATAA